TGTTACCTGACTCTTCATATTTGATATATCAGTGTTTTGTTTTGCTACTTTATGGTTTACGACCCTGGCTGAGCAGGTTCTTCAAAATGCACCAGCTGAAGGCCATTTTTAAAAATCGTCCCTCGTCTGGTTTTGAACTGGGACCTGGATTTCTCAGCAGAGAAAAGATTCCAACCTCAACCTGCTTCCCTTAGAAAGAATGTGTGTCAGGGGCTGGCTGTATCTTTAACTACCTCCTCTGTTTTTTCCTTTTTAATACAGCAAAGGAAAGTTGATTTGTTAGAGATTCCTGCATATGGTTACTTAATGTGGACTCCTGAAGGCAAAATGTTGTCAATACAAATTGTGTAGTGCCATTTTCAAGTGTGAGCACAGCTTTGCAGAGTTGTGCATTTTAAACCTAATAGCTGTTAAAATGCTAGCAGTTTTCAGGTTTTACAGATCTGTGGTGTTACTAAAGGTTTCAAGTTAAGAAAAGATGATAAAAGGCTGAAGGTGGGAATTTCAGTAAAGCTAAACGGAAAGTATTGACAAACTGGACACACATGTACACTATGTACACTAGTTTGTTGCTTGCAGCTGCATATATTCTGTTAGTGCTGTGACCCCCTGTCAGTAAATTGATGACTTGTAAAGAGCTGTGGGCTCTGTGGTTGAACTAAAAGGCAGACTGTCTGTCATAAGACTTTACATCTTTGCTTAACAGGGCGTGCATGCATGTTGCTTGGTTCTGCTTTCAATAAAGTGACTAGGGTATCAGTTTGCCTCTTTGAGCTTCAGTTTGGGCATTACTCATAATATGAGACAGCCCCTGATTACTTTTTATACAGTTGAGATCCCCAGACTTTCCCATGTAGATCTACTGTTGATGAAGAGGGTGTAGCCTGCTTTCCTTCTCTGTGCTCTTGTGTGGACATATTATTTGTGAAAAAATATACAGACCAGGGGGTTACAGGTCGGCCTTTGTTACTGAGGCAGCTTTCTGTCTGGCTCTTGTCTTGGAATGAATCAGCGATTTAATGTGTATGCGCTCCCTATAGATCTGCATGACAGGTATTCCTTTTTCCATAAGCAGCCTGCGTCCCATTGCCTCATTCATTTAAATAATGACATCAGCAGGCTGTGAGCAATAATGAAATCATTAAAGCTAACTGGAATTGTTTTCTTTTCAGGTGCTTCAGTTGACTAACTTTTCACAATGTGAAATTTGAGAAATTCAATTTGACCTAAGCTTTTATGTATGCATTCAGAGACTATTCATCACCACAGTAATCCCTGTTGAATACCACTAAGTTCTTACTGTGCTTTGAGAGCTGCTTTGTGCCTGGTTTGCAGAGGAATAGAACTTATTGTTTGCTTAACAAGAGACTTATCAGATAGTGTATGTGGAGAGCCTTTAATTATACTATACCAGTGTCCAAAGGTATATTGAATTAAAATACCAGCCAATAAAACATTGAGAACATGAGGACAGCACAGGTATGGCTGAATTTATTCAACAGAGGTGGCAAGTCAGGTTTATTTTTTATAGTACAATTAAAATCAACAAAAGTTGGCAATATTTCTTTACAAAGAGACAGAAGATAAAAAGACACATCACTGTAAATGACATTAAACCCCAGAGCAGAAAACAAAATTAAGTGGTTTAAGTTTTGACATTTAAAAACAGAGAGAGATGATGCCTTCCAAATATGGAGAGGAAGGATATTCCACAAAGTAGGGCCGGAAAAGAAAAAGCATGCTTGCCTTCAGATTTTATTTGGACCTTTGGGAAGCAACTGGTCCTGAGACTTAAGTATTCAACTGGGAACATAGGGATGTACTATAAAATATTGATCATATAAGAGAGAGCACAACCATTTAAGGTTCTATAGGTCAGAAGAGGTATTTTAAAATGAATCCAGAACTATACTGGGAGCCAGTAGAGTGAAGCAAGAATGGGTATAATGTGCTCACGTTTGCAAATTGTCTGCGGGCTGCGAGCGACATTTTGTACTGATTGGAAGCAAGCCAATGACGATTGATTTAGACCCATGTAAAGGGACTTACAATAGTCAATACAACTAGAAATACGTACAAGTTTTTCAAAATAATTAAAGCTCATATTGTTTAACCGTCAACAGAAGTCCAAGTTGAAAAAGTCCAGCTTTAACAGAGTTAACATGTTTGAGCTGTGGGGATACATCAGATAAAAAGATCCTAAACCACTGAACTACAGGTCTCTCCACACATTCAATACCATACAAATCAAAAAGGTACAGTATGGAATCTTGAGTGACTACTACTTATAACAACTGGACATCTTTCCAGGGAACTAAATACTGTACTTAAAATGTGACCACCAGTATATTTTGGAGTGCAAAGGGCATGCCTGGCTGTTGAACCCATTCCAAGGGAGGTTTTGGACATTAGCCAGGTATACGTGTAACATTTCCTGATTAATCAAGCTTTTATAAAAGAGGATGCGGGGTAGTGTCGGGAAGTGACATGCTTGGCCTTTGTTGAGACAGATCTTCCTGTTGTAGCCAGTAAGAATTCCCACCAGGCAGCCAAAGGTCAGAGAACAGTGTTTGAAAAGGGAGCATTGTTTGTTTACATGCCCTAGAGGAGCAGAAATAATATCAACCGTAGGAATTAGCAGGTAGGACTGGTAGAACTGCATACTGAGTGAGATGCACTATCAGCAGTGAAACAAGTGTGCATGTGCTCAGATAGTTACCTCACATTCTCTCTATCAGGAAACCAAGAGCCTTTAGCACAGACAGACAAAACAAGCCTGCTTCAATCTAATGCAGGTCTGTTAAAGGTCTCTTAAAGATTTGGTCCTGTATATTTCTGCTCGCTTCACTTGTCTGTATTTTTGAAGAAATAACCATAAATAGGTAAAGACACCTTAGGTTGTACTGGATTTGTAACATGTCCACCAAAGCAAATATTCTTGGGCGACTTCACATTTGCTGATAGGGGTGATGATTCTTTTAATACATGACTCACCACAATGTTTTTACCCCCTTGTTGCTTAAAAAAACAGAGGCAGCTTCCAAGCAAAGCAGCCTCAATGTTCTGGGTCTCCATGGACAATGTTGGCGTACTGTTTAGCACTCCTTTTATAGGTAGTGATCTAGGTGAATTATGTAATTGTGTGCATAGTCCTGAAATCAACAATCAAACTCAAGATCGTTTTGCCTTCATAAGGCAATTTACAGGAGTTGGAGTGACATTTTGTTTAAAATGACTACATCAGATTTTGATAGGGAAGTGGCTACTTGCCTAAGACACAACAGAGAGCATCACAGTTTAATGCTGCATTGAGTTTAGACATGTTTTGGCATTTTTACTGTAATATTTCATAACCAAACCTTATCTTGCATTGCTAAACTTTTTCTCATCCCTAGAGCAGAGTTGTAATGAACTCCCATAACATCCTCCTCTTATTGAACTGTGGAGCTCTTGAGGTTTTAAGGCTGGGTAGTAGCAGATTTACCTCTGCAAGTTGATTAGGCCTGCACATTTAATAGACCATTGGGTTTTCATATTATGCAGCAATCCCCAGTTAAAAATCTGATCTGGTTATGCTCCTACACTGTTTTAGTTTTTGTTCTGAATACTTCTTCCACTTGCAGGAATGGACGTGAACCGCCCGACTTATTAATTTAGCAAACAAACCGGTGAATATTTTTCTTAATGGTGTGGGGCATGGCCTTCATTTTACAGGGTGTAGGTGTTGTCCGGCTTATAAAAAGGAGCAGGCAATATGTAATTGTCCAGCAGAGTTTATGGTCAAACTGAATTTAAATTTACACAAGGGAGGCACTGTGGTCTCTTATTGTTTAGCCAAGCACTGTTATTTTAGGTGAAGAAGGGATAGGAGAGGTCACAGTGAAGACAGTCTCACACACAGACATCTCCTTCCTGTGTAGTATTTCAAAGCCATATTATCCTAAGGAGGACCAAGAGTCCAGATTCTAAGCTGTTTGTGTGCCCCGCAGGTGATCTGGGGTCTGAGTTGTTCAAGCTTGTCATCATTACATAAAAGACTCTTGGAGTCAACTCATTTATTTCAACTTATGACCAGACTTGCCTCTCTTTTCCCTATTGCCTTGGCCTGCTCTTCACTTTCCCTCTTTCTTCTTGACTCTATCATAACTAGCATTCTTGAGACACAGCACCCTAATTTATATTTGTACCTGTTCCTGGCCATAAATGTGAGAACCAGTGTGCTGAATTAACTCATGCCCTGTAGGGATACCAGAGGTCTTCAGCCCTTCTCTAATAAAAGCATAACCTTCTTTTATTTAACTCATTCTCTTCACCTGGACTTTCTTTGGTCTGAAGCTGCAAAGTATTGTGCATTTAGTGCATTTGTGCTGTGAGAAGTGTCTGTGCAAAAGCACCTGTGCTTGGTGTGGAGCAGTCAGACCCTGCTCGTACATTTTTTTTTTATTGCTATTGTCAGCTGGAAGTGCATTTTATGTGAGTGCTGTTTTCAAATTTCTGCATCCAAGCCATGTGTGGTTTTCTGCTCTATGAATCCTTAATAGACCAAAATGAGCTCAACTCAACCTTCTAATTTTTTACCTCCTAAAAATAGCTCACTGTGTATTGAAAAGTCAGATGTTATTGAATTGTGCACTTTTACACATCTTGCATATTGTGAGATGTGGGAAGGAGATTTTTCCAGGAAAATCTGAAAAACGATGTTTCTATCCAACTCTAACAGGGATAACACATGTAGACAGACAAACACATTCATACTCACATTCCCACTTTGGGGCAATTTAGAGTTTCTCGTGTATGGTGTTTGTAGTAAATACAGATTCATTCACTGTAAGATGGGATAATGAAAAGGCTTTTAGCCCAGACACAAAGCCTCAACTAGGTAAGGAATAAAATGGCACGAAGATGTTATTTGATGTGTCTCTCACTTTCTCTCCCTTGCTTCTTCCTCTTTCCAGCTGGCTCCAACTGAGCCGATGGAATAGACATTATGAGAGTCTCACTCTGGCGGTCTGGCTGTCTTTGACCAGTGTTGGCTGACATCATTCGCACAAGGGGGTGTTAGCTGGGGTAGGGCAGGGCTTGGCTCGACTGCTGAGTCAGTTTCCTTTGAAAACTCAACTGTGCCTCGGCACATCGAGTTTTACACAGCCTGTCATCTGGAATTGTACTCTAAAACCTTGGTATACTAATAATTTCTTCCTTTCTGGTTTGCAGCACTGGGATGATTTTCATGGAATGAGACGTTGCTGTCAAGGGAGATCTACAGGCGTGTTGGACACCTAATATCAATTGAAGAAGTAAATTTGTGGCTTATTTAAACTACACTGAACTGCTAAATGGATGGAATAGACACTTTGCAGAGCTCGGCTCCAGAGACCAAGGCTGAGCGAATTGCCCGCTACAAAGCAGAGAGAAGGAGGGAGCTTGCTGAGCGCTATGGCAACACAGAAGAATTCACCTCTAAATATGTCCGTAGGGACAGGAAAATTGGCGACACATCCGAAATGATGTATTCAGCAAGCAAGGAGAAGGAGAAATGTGAGGATAAGGATAATGGCTCAGAGCAAACCTATACCAGGAGGGCCCTCAGGAATAAAGCAGAACCTGTGGAGCACACTGATGATGAGCCCACCCAGGAAAAAGAGACTACCACTCACCTCAAAACAGACACAGTTTTATCCTCCAAGTCAGAAGCTGCCTCCTCCATAAAGATGTCCTCTTATTTCACGTGAGTTTATTCATACTTGACAAGTTCAAAACAAAAGCACACATTTGTTGCTCAATGTTTCTGAAAGACCAGTCAGTGTTTTTCTCTATGTGACAACCTTGGGCCGGAGATGTGAAACACAAAGCTGCTCAGGCAGAGACTCAAAGAGCTAATGCAAGTGGCGCCCAGACTGACATCTCAGAAACGGATTGCCATGAAATCATTTGCTATTTAGATAACCCTGTACGTTTCTCAGTAATACAGACAGAGCATTGAATATCCACTCAGTCTCTGACTTACAAGTATATCTGCTTAAACTTGGAGTGTACAGTTCAGTCGAGTATAATAGTTCCTTTCTGCTCCTTTGCATTAGCTGGTAAAGACAACTGTTAGATTACTGTACAAGGGCTTGCTGGCTAATGAGAGAAGAGGAGCTAACAAGTTGGCTCATCTTCTGTTTGAAGTAAACACGGTTGAAAATGTTACCAAACTTGGCCATGTGTGCTCAGCAGAAGACTTCTACATTTTATTTTGCCATGGTATGTTTTGCAGTGATGACATATACAATGCTGATTTTAATTCACTTTATAGTCTTGTGGGAGATCTCACATGTCTGGGAATTACAAATCAGTATTATCTGTGAGACTTGGGGGGGAAAAAAAGAGTGGCTGGCAGGAATCCTCTTCTGAGAACTGTACATGGATGGAGTAAACAATGTCCAGTTATGGGTCTGGAGCTGTTTGCACACTGGGAATCCTGCTGTGTGCACATAGTCAGACTCATCTGTTCTTGAAAGAGTTTGGGATTTGTGGGGAAATGGTTATTGGGTTCTGCCAAGTTTTGCCTGCGCTTAATGAAGTATGATTTCTAGATAGCTGTGATTTATTTATTTTGTGTATTTTACAGGGACACATGCAGATAAACATTGTCACACACACAGGCAGTGTAGTGCATCCATGGTTGGGCTTTAGAGCCAATTACAAAATTTTATAAGACTGAGAAAGACAACTCTTGTGTTGTACTAGACTTTGAAGAGAAACGCAGTATGTGCATTTGACAAGTTTGATCACATCTCAAATATCAAGTATTGTACTTGAAAATCTATCATGTCAGCATCATTGTGCTTAATCAAGAATGTAGAAGAAACAAAGTTGTTTTTTTTCCTTTTTAGTAACATTGGGCCTTGTAAAAGGAGCTGTTTGTACCACAGCTGACAGAATATAAGGCAACATACAAAGTCACACATAGTTGTGGACTAAATCTTTACTAACTACACAGTGTGACATGTTGATGTGCTTGTCTGGCATCCCTGTCATGCTAGCTCCTAATCATGTCGGTTTTGTTATGACGTTCAGTCACTGCACGTCACAGTCCTGCTATACAGCCACACTTACACATGTCGAGTTAAGAGACGCCTGTATAAAAGCAGTTCTCATCAGATCTTCAGTTCTTGGAGTTTTGTGTTTTTTCCCCAAGTACCTTCATATATCATTCTGAATTGTATGTTAATACTGTATGTCCTAGATTCCTGATTGACATGCACTGGAATGTATGTGTATGATTAGAGCTTCACACATTTGCTAAGGCTACTGAGGCAACATGATTAGAATTTTTGTCACAGATAGGGCAAGAAGGAAACTGGAGCTCAGCTGATAAAGCTGTCAGCAAGATTATCTTGCACAGACAGAATCCTTCTTTCATGAATGTACAGTTGAAGGGTGGCATTCCAAAATACAACATTTTGACATTTGCACTTACACCAAGTCTCTACTTGGTAATGGCCCATAGCCTAACTTGTTTTCTGTTCATGTTAATGTAATCTCATACATCTTGCTGCCTTAATTCCATTTCAGAGAGAATACAGAAGCCTTTCCAGCTGAACCACAGTACAAACATAAGTACACTGTTTGTACAAAATGTGATTGTTTAGCCAAAGCTACTCTATGTACATCATAGTTTTGGAGCAGGCAAGATGCAAGCTAATCAGTGCAAAAATCTTGCTGGGTATAAAGAAATTACCATATAAAAGTATGAATTACGAAAACAAGGGAATAAGAGTTGGGAAGATTAATGGTGTGTTGCTTTTTTTTCCTCCTCTCTGAACCTCCAGTCTTCTCTGGGTAGTTTTTATGATGGGTGCAGCCCCTCCCCTTCAGTCAGAAGTCAGTGTTTGGGTGGGGTTGATCAAGTTTCACTGAGCCTTGCAGGTGTTGAGGGTGTGTTAAAACAGAAAGTTTGAGGAATAGGTGGCACCGGTCACCAAGACCACCAAGGTCTGAAAGCAGACATTCTAGCAGCTGACCCTGAAACATGTATTGTTGCATATAATATGGATTTTACCCATGTGGCTGAAGTCCGCCAGCTCTCTACCTTTCCCTGACATTGTGCCAGCGTTAAGAGTCCCTATTCTCAGACCTATACTCCTGCCTTTCCTCTTCTCGCTCTGTCTACGAATCCTTCTACCTCCTCTCCTTCTTCGACCAACAGTAGTCCAGTTTCCACCAGCACCCTGTAGGTCAACAGCACTGGTGGCGGTGGTTGTTAACCCGGGCCTCGACCGATCCATTATGGAATTCACACTGATGATTCGCATGTTTTTACGTCTGATGCCCTTCCCGACACAACCCTCTCTATTTATCCGGGCTTGGGACGGCACAGAAGTCACTGGCTTGCAACCCCTGTGGCTAGATTAAGTAAGAGCAACAGTGATTTGATATTGTGTAGTCAATTTAAAGTGTAAATAACTCCTGATTTCCCACAGTGTCCTAAAGCTGTACTGAGGTATGTTAACCCAGAACAGCTGTAATAGATGCTCTAATATTTACATGTCCCATAGCATTTTTTTATGGTATGTGGAGGGTGAACAGCAAAGGGGCTCTGCTGTGGCTCGGCTCATGCATGGTATCATGATTTTTTATTTTTTTTTTTTTCCTTTGCACTCCAAAGCTCTCGTTCTCACAACAATGTGTGGTTACAGCTTTTCTCCAGCACAGCAGGTTACTTAAAGCAAACAAAGGATCGGAATTGATTGTGCTTATTTATCCAATACGGATCGTCTAAACAGAAATGATATCTGGATTGATCCCAGTCCTGCAGCTTGACTTGGAGCTGTGTCTCCACTTTCATGACCTGACCCCTTCCAGATGTCATCATGGTTCTCTATTGTGTTCAACGCAGCCTTCTCCCCCTCCTCCTGTTACGTCATCGCTGCTACCCCCAGTCAGCTGCCATCGCCAGTACTTAGAGATGAGTGGCTATCATTAGCCACTGCTGTTATATCATTGCCATCATGTCTTAAGTGTACAGTACATTTTTTGATCATAGTTGTGTAAGTAGAACTTTATCTAATCATTTATCTGTCTAGTTTGCAGCATCCCTCGTTAACAGCCACAGTATTTCTGTCATCACTTCAGTAAGTTAGAGAGTGACCTCATTTATCTCTGTTTCTCTCTCCTAGGTTGCCGGAAAGCGATGATACAGAGGAGCCAAAGGGTAAGACAGACTGTCCCCTTTCACCACACTCAGATCCTCTGTTGTTCCTCAGATTGCTTTATCCCCTGAACTCATTCGAGTTCTCTTTATTTCCCAGTGTTAAAGGAATACCTGAGCTCATAGCTGATATCAGATGACCCATCTGGTTCATAGATTTTATAGGATAGGTTTAAAGGATTTTTAATACTCTGAGGAGTGAAACAGGCACAGATCTGTGCTTGACTCTGATTTGTGTGCAGTTTAATGTAAGGCCATTGTTGTGCCTCAGGCCATGTTTTTCATAAAAAAAAAAAAAAACATTAAGGAGATGATGCTTGACACATGCCTGTGGAGTTTTTAATCAAAGACTTAATGGGTGTGTGCTTATACTTGTTTTTCTATGCAAATGTTTGACCAGTTACACTGGAACCTTGTTTCAACCAGCAGGTATTATTATGAAGGAAATTTGGATTTGGGCCACTGGCTGCTTTTCTGTCACCTATTCAGCCACCTGAGTCCCCAGCTTGAGGGTGTCTGTCAGTCTGGTTGCCATCTGTGTGTGTTTCTGGCCTTTTAACCCATTGGCTGACTTACTTGTCTGTGTCTGTTACTCTGCTTACAGATTTGATTTGTCTGTCTTGTGACTTAAAGAGGTGATAGGAAGAGACCTTGAAAAAAACCCTGTTATTTCAGTATTTCAAGACATGTGGAGCAGTGTTGTGTAACATTTTTATTTGCACAACAATGTAAACAAACAGTCCTGTCTTTTAAGTTAACCAGAAAGTAGACTGAATCTTGGTATTATATAGAGAGCAAAGGAGCTAAAACAGGTTAGTAACTAGAATGGAAGCCACTGATGCTTGCTGTGGTTGCTAGTTCTCTAACCCAAGACCTTTTCTGTTCAAAGGTTTATCTTTGATAAATGTTCTGCATGTTACCTACATCTAAACATGCACAGCAAACATAAATAGGAGAGCCGATGTGTCCATGTGTATATGAATCAGGTTTTTGATCAGTGTACTTGACTAAGATGCTCACTCATCTATTGCCATCAGGTTTGTCATTGCAGCCACACAGGCCATATATTCTCAGTGAACTGGTCTGATGAGAAGTTACTGAATGAAATTAAAATGGTGGGGAGACAAAATGAACACCAATAATCTGGTCATTGCTGCATATTGCAACATAGATTTTTACTTCTATTGTACATTTCCCAGATGTTTTTATTCTTATTAAAAAAAACAACACACTTTTTAAATCGCATTTGGGAACATTAAAAACATGTTTACCTCAATTAGTTTAATGGTTTTCTGCTGCTCTACTTGAAAAGACTCGTGTCCAATCCAAATATTCTCAGATAATTAAAGATCAGATCAGTCACGTCACATTTAGTGAAATTTAGCCTGTGAAACTTTGTGAGACAATATGTGGACGACAGTATTAAGTGGGAATGGAATGCAAAAAAGAGTTTTGCTTTGAATGATAATCTGTCAACATGTCTTGTAGATGAACAAACCCATGTATTTCTCTGGTTGGAAGCCAGGAGTTGAGTGAAAGCTACAGAATCGGGAACAAAGGGTGGTCTGTGTTCATATTTAATGGAGATGTGTGCATGTGAGAGTGGCCGTGCATTCACATGGCTTATAGAGCTTCCTGTCCAAGCTGGCAGAGGAGTCGGTGCTCTGAGCCAGAACGCCTCTCATGGTCATGTCAAGGGTTTCCCTGACCCTTCAGCTAATCCACAAGCCAGCAATGTACAAATGCAAACATTCAACTCCTTCATACTAAATTAATTTATATACTTTGCTCCACTGCACAGACGCACTTTGTCATGCTTGTATTAGCATAATATAGAGTGTCTTCAGAATGATGACATCTAAAGTAAATACTTTGTAATTCTGCTGTAAAACATATTCTGCAGATCTGACTTATTGTTTTTCTCAGTGCCAGACTGTTTGTTTGCCATTACAAGGTCAAAGGCCCATCTAATAAGCTCTCAAGAGCTACAGTATAGTTTGGCTGTCGTGTGAGATGGATGAAGAGTGAGTAAAGTTAAGTGGAGGTTTTTTGCTCCCGAGTTGTTCTTTGCTCTCGCCTGGATGTCAGATGGATGATGTAAAAGAGATTGGACTGCAGTCAAAACTGTAATAATATAGTCCGAGTGGAATCGCCAGCCTGCGGTGCTTAATGTTTCATCATCTGAACTAAATCATGCCAAGTTCTGGACAGCAGGGGAGCTTGGAAACATAAATCAAAACTAAATTATTAGGCCTCAACAGAACTTTTTATTTCCACTGAAAAGGGGACTTTCTCAGACACACCATTATTGGGATATGTTTGTTGTTTTGTTTTCTTGTGGGGGGTGGGGGGCTGCTTTTGGTTTGAAATGTAGCATTATTAAGTAAATAAGAACAGATTTGACCATGGTGACTTAAGAAGTGTGTGTAGTTTGATACTATTAAATGCAATTGTTTTCTTTTATCTAGATTAAAAGATTATATGCTCAGGGCTGTTTATGGATTAGAAAATGCAAATGAGAACATTCTCTTTTCTCTCTCACACATGTACACACATATAAAGAATATGTATTATATGTATTCCTCCATTTAAAATATCTCTGTGTCACTGATAGACAACTCATGCCCAGTGTCTTTACAGGCCCAAATGCAGGCCAGCGGATGTATCGCTCTGTTCGTTTTCTTTTTTTGATCCAGAGACACAGAAGCACGAGTGAAGCCATTAAGGTTATATCCTGTCTGTTGATCTCTGCATTTTTCCAGCTGTAATCCCCAGTAAAGAACACCTACGCAGCACCTTGCCCTTTGAATGCAACATATCTCAACTGTCAGAAAGATGCAGAAGGGGGTTTGTGTGAATGTGTGTGTGTGTGTGTGCATGCATGCTTTAAATATGCCTTAGTTTAAGTGTCTGTGCTCAGCTTTGTCTTACCATGCAGCTGTACTCTGTCTACAAAAAGTTAGTGTGATATGTGATAAACACATAGTGCAAATTAAACCCGCATTCTAAAATGACAGTCTGCCTGATCATGTGGTACTACACTGGTAGGAAAAAAGCTATTCTCTACATGGTTTCAACAGTTGCTTTCTGTGTTTGTTCTTTTCAGCTGACAAGAAGCCTGTCGACTCAGTTAAGACGACTGTTACTTCCAAGATGTCTCTTTTTAAGGTACAATATTAGATCTGCCTTCATCCAAATGTTTTGTATCATGCGATTGATTCCATGTGTGTATCTCTGTGTGTAATGTGATTTTAAATTGTGCAGACATTTAATGGTGTCAAAGATTTTGCGGTTTGTCAGGGTTGTTATGTATCAAAGCCCTTAAGATCAAAACGTTGCAACACTGAGGGTTAAAAAATGTGGGTCTGGTGACTCGTATGGTTCCAAACATCCGATTTAGATCCACTGTTTATCAGCAAATTGCTACTTTTAATGATTTGTACACCCATGCAGACTAATTCTGTGTTCCGTTATTGTGGATAGCTCGGCTAGTTGAGCTAGTTAGCTAGATACCTATTAAAGTGACCCAATATTTGAGGGAGATGGTCAAAAAGGTTGTAAAACATATAAACGTTTTGACACATGTTGTTAATTTAAAATGTCACAAGTTGAATTATTGCCCTTTTTTTTTTTTTTTTTTTTTTTTTATTTCAACTTCTTACTGTAGAAGATGGCAGCCAAGTTAGTGGCACTGCTCCTAGTGTTTGGAACTAACCTTGTGCTTCCATGGTCTGCCATTACTGTAAAGAATGGTCCTTACAGGGTCACTCTCCTTCTTAATCCACTCTTTTATGTACCACCTGAACTTCAATTCAATTTGTTTTTGGCAGAGAATTAATTTAAATTAATACACGTGCAAACTTTTGTAAAAGCATAGCCATGTTTGCCTGACTCACAGGTGGCTCAGCCACTTGTTTCCACCTCACCTTTGTCCAAGCCTCTCCTTCTTTTGCACAGATTTGCATATTTCCAAAAGCTGTGCTGACAGCACACAGACTGAATCCAGCCTTCAAAACATCCATTTATAAGCTTACGAATGATGTCACAGATACTATATCTGTATTTTTCTACAGTCTTTGTTAAAATTCTTTTTATTTCCCTCGCTGATTTACTCGCAGTCTTTTCCAGTGCACCTGGAGTACGCTTCAGCCTCCCTCTGGAAGTGTGTGCCATTAATAACAAATTGAGTGGTTCCATACAGCTCTGAGCTGTCCTGCACCTGGATGCACACTTGGCCACAGTCATGACTTCAGCACACACAGTCCATGAAGGAAAGTCTGGAGAGCTAGGAGATGCACTCAGGAACAGACACTTGATAAATGTCCCCAGTCATGCGAGAGACCTGCACGTGTGCACATGAAAATGAGTATCAGACTTTCCCAGGGTGCTTAGGTTTCAGAAGTGGTTAGGTTTCATGATATTGGATGTAAATGGTTCTAACATGTCCTTCACAGACCAAGAACAGTGCCAGGGTTGGCCAAGTGAACCCAGATGGCAGCATGTTGCTCCCACCAAAAACCTTCTGGGAAAACAGGCTCCCATAAAGAGACTTTCAATCATACCACAGTACTTTCTTTTTTTCTTTCTTCCCTCTGTCCTTTGTTCTCTCCTAGATCTCTGTTATTTTATGGTCTCTCTCTCTCTCTCTTTCTCGAAAGTCATCAGCAGTGACAGATACCTATCTGCTGTCTTCACCCATCTCTCCTCCACAGTCACTGTTGAAAACCAGTGAGTCAGTGTCTCCGGCAGGGAGGTTATAGCAACCCTTTCCAACGTGGTTGGAGGTAATAAAATACGGACACGAAGACTGGAGAAATATGGATCTCATTTATATTTCCAATTTCCTGACTTGATTTCCTGGATTAGTTAAAATGTCTTTTACAGTAAGCAATGCATTCATGGTGGCTGGAAAATAAGTTCCTTCTTTATAATCAGTGAGCGTCAGCTAGTTTATAAGAGTCCTCTAATTCTGTAAGCTTTGGTGTGTAATTTGTGGAAAAAGAGCATTTGATTTGTGTTGCTTTCCTCACAGCTGGAGATCCACTTAGCTTCACCCGCTCACCCCAGGGTGTCAGTAAAGTGTTTACTGACAAAGATCTGGCTAAGCTGCATGGTTCACACTGTATGAAAGTTGTAAAAAGTCTCTGGGAGCATTAAAATACCATCTTTTGTTTTTTTTCATAGGTCTAGTTGAAATTTTGATTCTATTCTGTTTTCGTTTAGCTGATATGTAACAGGATTAACCATTTTGACAGGGAGTCTTTTATTTTGCCTGTTATAAAATGTTTTGCATCTGTAGCTTTATCTCATGTTGACATTAGCAAAAACTTTAAAATTAGTCATTTTAGTAATTCTAATTGATTAGACCACCCATCCATTTAATGCTGCCTATTTGGATCCAGCTCGCATTAATGAAATGAATTTCATTTATACACAACTGTAAAGTACTGAAACAGGTAGGAGTATAATAATAATAATAATAATAATAATGATAATGATGGGTTATGTGTCATATTACCCTTCTGGTTTCCATCATCAGTGTGAATTTGAAACGGGTTTTAAATTGTAGTTTATTTTTACAACAGATTGCTCAGTGTTTTAACTGTAAACAGCCCTTTCGGCTCCTCTCATCTTAAAAGGGTCAGTGAGGTAGACAGTGGACCCATTAAAGCAATATTTAATCTGGCAGACTGCAAAAGATAATAAAAATAAACTGTAATGGTTCCCCTGAGGAAACACTGCTTTACTGTAGAAAATGTAGTACCAGTAGTACTCATCTCTCTCTCTGGTAATTTTAACTATACGTTTCAGGCCTGGTATATTTCTCATGCTTGCTCCTTTCCAGCAACAACCTGCTGCATCAGTCACTTGAGCAGTTCCTCTAAGGAACTTGCGCATTTAGTCAGTTGCTTTGCTCAAGTGGAGGGGTGGAGCCTTCTTCATTCATTCACTTCCATTATCAAGAGTTTTTTGCAGCTGGTGGACGACTTAGTCGGAATTACTTTCAAATACTACCCCTAACTTGAGGCTTGTCTCTACCCGCAGGACCTGGAGGGCACAGAGGATGGAAGCTGTGGTCACCGTGCCAACAACAGAGTACAACATCTGCTAATGAGCAGTGATGAAGAGGAAGCGTCAATCAGGTGAGCCGGCTCAGACTGATGTTCGCGTCGGCATGGTCAGACCGTTTTAGACTAACCACACTTTGGAGTTTTCTTTGTCACCATTTGAGTAATAGACTTTGTGAGCTCCAGTAGATATTATATCTATACTATACTATATATATCCATTATATATGCTGCTACACACACAGAATAGAACAGGTTGAAACCAGCAGGCCGAGCAGACTGAACAGAGCACAGACATAATTACAGACCTGTTGATGTAAACAGCTGCAAAGATAAACCAGATAAACCTGTAGAGCTTGCCATTAATACCACACTCTCTCTGACGCACACATGCATGTATACACACACACTCAGGGCTGTGCGCTAGCCACAGTAATTTAAACCAGGTAAAAGTTGATAGCTGTAGCTGTGAAAGCTGGACTATACTTGGCAACGTAACCACTGGAGTAAAAAGTGGGGACTGTGTGTGTCTCTGTATAGCTAGGTCAAAGACATAATTGTGTTCCTTCCTGTCATTTTGGTCCTGTTTTTAGTTTCTTCCAAAGACAGATCAGTGTATTTGCCTGTTTGCAGCTGAACCTGGTCACTGACCCTCTTCAGCAAACATCCATGGCACTGCACAACAAAACGACATAGACCAAACATTTTCATATAAGTAAATTCTTCCAAAGGTCACAAACACTCGTATCAGATAAGCTTGCTGTGTTGTATTAGTGATATCTATTTTTAGAATTTACAATGCGCCATGCAATACCCAGATAGCAATACCCAGATAGATTTAGTAACCTTTGGTTCATGGGGGGTTATCTACTACTGTATTCATAGTACAAACAGTATAACCTAAATGCAGATTATTACTGCATATATACTGTAACTAACCACTGGTTAGTCCCAGTTTGTATCATGTATTACATATACTTGAGTTAGAGGTAATCTTCATGTATTACATATACTTGAGTTAGAGATAATCTTCCATTAACCTGTCAAAGTAAGATTTGCTGAACATATTGACCCTGTATCGTTGTTTGCCAACACTCACCCAAGTTCTGAAGTTATTTCATGAATCCTCATAGACTAGTCTAATGATGTGGAATAAAAAATTATCTGGAAATTTTTGTCAGTATTTCGGGTGAAAGAATTAGCTTTTCAGAACAGTAAAGAAGATGATGACAGGTAATGATGCCTTTTCTTGCTTTTTTTTTTTTTTTTTTTTTTTTTTTTTTTTTTTTTTTTCCGCTTTCACACAAAGCCAGAGGGACGACATCATTTACTGTCGCCATCCTTGTTTATATGGAATGAATGGACATAACTGAGAAGCTATTAAAATGATATTTTAGTTAGAAGAGTCTGTGAGTTTGGGAAATACTTTTAGAATATTATGGGGTTAAAATGTTCAAGTGTCAATTTGGCATGTTCATGTAAGATTATCTAAAATTCGAGTGTATGTATTACATGAGAGTCACAAGCTGGGGCTAACTACTGGTAATAAATCCATAAAAGAAGGACAACATTGCGGTTGCACAAATTTCGTTGTTTGGTCTGAGTTCACCATGCAGCCAGCTTTTTCCTGCAATTCCATTGTGTAAAGGTTGAATAATTTTTTACATCCAGTTGATTAAAATGTTTATTTGGTTTTTTACTCTTTGTCTTTTCCCACCGTCTTTGCCTTCTTTTTACTGGTATTTCAGCCTTCCTAAAACTAATATAGTGAAAGCAATGGAAGAGAAAGAAGCCACAGATGAACATTCACAGGAGCGTGAATATGCTGCCAGTGCAATTAATGAAAAGGTCAGTTTTTTTTTTGTTTCTCTCTAAAGGTATCTTGAAAAATGTCACATGGTTTTCATAACTCAATAGGCTCAAATATAAAAGTCTTTTCTGTGGATTGTGTCTGGAAAGATCATACCACTGCTGTTGCACGTTTTACCCTGCATACAAGCCAATACCAACACTCTTAAATTTTGCCTCTGTTCTGCAGAAGTCTGGTTTAGTTTAGTTTTTTGTTTTTTGAAGTTGAGTTGTTGGTTGTATTTAATGTCACTGATTTACAGTTACAACACACACGCAGGTTATTTAACAGGTCTGGACAACATGCTGTTACATCACGCAGATCTTAACCTGATCCTTACAAGTAATTAGTATGAATGTACACGTACTGTGTACCGCACACACACTTTGGTGGTGTTCATTTAAGCAGACCACCTTGTTAGCGTTGCGCTCTCACACCCAGTAGGCCACTTCTTTCATGCGCTCTTAAGTCAACACTCCCTTGTAATCTTTCACCTACCAGTAAGATGTCTGCTGCTGTTTTATCATTTACGTAAAAGCATATTGAACACAAAAGAGCCTGTTTATGTGTCATTGGATGTTTGTGGTTGCAACTGACTGTATTTTAAAACAATCGTGACTCTAAAATTAATTTTAAAGACAGTCACGATTTCAGAATTTTTATTTTATGGTAGTTTGTGTGTGTCAACGCTATTTGACACAACATATGCTTTTTGTTAATGCAGGGCTTTTCATCTTTCAAGTACAAAAAACACGTATGGTATCCCAAAGAATTCATGTAGATATACTGACAGATATACTTCACAGTCTTTCTCGACTCAGTTTTTTCTCTAGTTTCACTGATTGATGCTTGGATTTTCACTTAATCCCTTTTTATCATCACTGTTTTTCAGTCCCTTAGTCTTTCTTTTTCATTCGCCTATCTCCACTTTTTTCCTCTTGAGCCCTTCCCATCTGACCTACTGACTCTTCACCTCCTGATAACAGTGGTAGGAATGCAGAAACAGTAGTAGTCGGAACAGACGTATAAGTTTATGTATATGGTTGTGTAACCCTAACCCAGTCTATGAGAAACCCAGCAAGAAAGAGTTTTTGCCATTTATGTGGAAACTACAGAGGAGCTGATGTTGGAAAATGTTGACCTTCTCATTGAGAGTTGTATACTATAATCAGAGACTTCTGTAGACTTCTTTGAGTAGTATTGCAACTTTAATAGTCTTTTCCAAGTACTATAAATATAATAAGTGGTATTAAAAATAAAACTTTGTCACCCCCCCACACCCATCTCTACA